CTATCTATCTATCTATCTATCTATCTATCTATCTATCTATCTATCTATCTTCTATAGGTGTACTAAGTAAGTGACAAGCAATTGAGAAACATGCTGACATGTGACTGTGTCTGTTAGTAATGATGTAGAACAATATATAATTCTGTTTTAGTTTTTTTAATATCAATAAGTTAGAAGCTGAGACATTTTCTCTTGTTTTCATATAAATTTATTTCAGCGTATTTATCAAGCGAGGAGGGCCGCGTATCATTTAGAAAAAATATTACCTGCGATATAGAAGTATTAGAATGCTTGCAGCTCCAGTGATTAAATCACAATGAGAAACTACCACTTTTGTCCATTCTTTCTGACTAGAAGGACAGCAACTCCAGCACACTTGACAGATTAGTTACAATAAAATAAGATTAGTTAGTTAAGATTAGTTACAATAAAATGACAGTTAAATATGAAATACATGAAAATTCCAGAAAAAATAAGGCTAAAAGAAGCATATACAATCTTCTGTTGTCATGACTTCTGTGAAGAATAATATATACATATATATATACATGATCTATATACAAGATATATTAGAGTTTTTAAATTTTTCAGATCAGAGAAATGGAGTAAGCAGGAACAAATAAACAATGGATTACTCTAGTATGGTCATGCTAACCAGCCTTATGAAATTTCCTTACTGCTCTTTTCTGCTAATCAGTTTGAAAGATATCCTGTAGGTGTAGGGTTGCCTTAAAAAATTAAATAAGGGATACTTTTTTGCCCCGCATTGTCTTCCACCCTACCCACATTATATGTTTATTTTTGCCTTTTATTGTTTGTTTGAATTGATTTTGTAATCATTCAAACTGAACCTGAATTTAAATAGACACATTTTTTCTTAATAGGAGACTTTTTCTTTTTTTTTAAGAAAGTCTGCAACCTGTATTGTTACCTCAGATTTCTAAACAGTAGCTCAAGTATAGTACTATCAGTAAAAAGTTGATCATATTTAATGCTTCATAATTAGAAAACTATTTTCCTTCACTGAGAATTTTGAAGATTCTAGATTGTTTAGTTTAAAGAAATGTGAGTTCTTCTGTAGATTTCATAGGTATTAACCATGTCAATTCATTTAATTGAATTTACTTTTTTAACTTTTACCTTATCACGACTATCATGTCCATATTTCCTTTATAATTCAGTTCAAGGACTTTTTTTGTTAAATTAGTTTTAGTAGCTTATTCATCTGTGGTGTGATATTATCAAAGAGCTGCTGTCAATATTCTTGCACTGTATACAGATGCATTTCTATTTTGTGCAAAAAAGACTAACTAAAATACTTTTAAAACCTCACATATGTCATTAAGGTTGAGAATAAACAGTTTTAGTTCCATTACTCACCAAATGGAAACAGCACAAGCAATGTATATTTATTTGCCTTCTAATTGAATAGCTCTTCATCCACTCCAGAACTGCATAATGCCCTAATTTCCTGAAGAAGGCATCTGGATTTATTGCACAAACTTTTTTTGTAGATCAACAACCAGACCATTGGCATTTTTTTTTTTTTTTTTAAAGAGCTGACGATCTGCCAAAGTTGTTATCCCTGTACTGGCCAGTGTTGAAAAGTTCTTTAAAGCTCTTTAAGACCCTTAAAATCTCCAGGTTTCTTCCTCCCAGCTATCCGATCATACAAAAAAAAAATAAAAAAAATTGAGGGATTTGCTACAGCTGGATGAACTGAAGCAATCAAATTAGGCAATAATGTTATCTAGTGCCTCCTAGTGCCCTTTAGGACAGAAAATAGCATTTTTTCAAATAGCAATTTTTTCAAGCTAAAAATCTTGACTAAACTAGTGAAACTCAGCTAAAATAAACTTCTATGTACTCAAAAAAAAAATATATATAAAAAATGAATGAAAACTATAAACAATATAAAAATAAATGGTGATAATTAATCAATTACAAAATTATTCAAAGGTACTAAACTGAAAATATTGTATACCAATCAACACCAGTTTGGTGTGTGTGACTGTACAGATGAGTTACAATATCATGTCAGTGCCATGTCATGTCATAGTAATCATGTCAATGTGATTTTTTTTGCGTATAATAAAAAAAGCTAAATGCTAAATTAGATTTTAATTGAACTCTGCTTTTAAACACTGACAGTTTTAAACTGGCTGTTAAATATGCAAGTATATATATATATACATACATATATATATATATATATATATATATATATATATATATATATATATATATGTAAATATATATATATATATATATATATATATATATATACATATGTAAATATATATATGTATATATATATACATATATATGTAAATATATATATATATACATATGTAAATATATATATGTATATATATATATACATATATATGTAAATATATATATATATATATATATATATATATATATATATATATATATATATATATATATATATATATATATATATAAACTTTTTTTAAGCAACTCAACAAATAATTGCCAGAGACTTTTAAAATGGGAATTTTAGGAGGGAACACATTTTTCGGAAATATCATTGTTTCCTGACCCAGGATGATAACTGTTTCTCAGCTGATCAGACTCTGTAGAGCATTATTCTCCTCATCTCTGTTCATGGCAAGTCTTAAAAGGGAGGAGGTCAGTGCAGAAACCTTTGATATGGTAAATTAATAGTAAAAGTTATGTACTGTAACTGTTTTTCAGCTCAACAGACTTGATCAAAGCACTTTATTCAACATTTATGTATTGACGCTAAGACACTGATTTTGGCAAGCTAAATTGTAGCCACAGATCACCTTGGGGCACTGGCAGAAGCAAGGCTGCTGTACACTGTCACCACTGGGTCCTCTGACCCCCATCAATATAGAAATAAGGAAAGGGTAGCAATCAGTGGTACCCTTTTCCTTTTTTTGTATATACTTTTTTATCATAGGATTTTCAAACCTCATCTGAAATGAAAACCAAATCTAAATGCCACTCTGCAACAATGACTCTCCCAGGAGTACCGCCTACACATAATGTTTGCTCATTGGTCCGTTTGTGATGGATGACACTTCAGAAAGGGGGTTGCGAAGCTGTTATGGCACATTAAAATCCTCGGTCTGGACAGTAGACAAAAGAACCTGGTGATAATATAAAAAAAAACCAAGACAGAAACCACTGATTGTTCAGTGTTTTAATGGTCCTCTTCGAAGAGGTGTAAAGGAGCGACCCCCTCCCTCAAGTGAAGCAGTAATTGAGTCTTCACCTAAACCTCTAACCTAAAATATACATGTAAAATCTGCCCCAGAAAGCAGTTTTAGGTTTGATGAATGGCTTGACGGGTGGAAAGGAATTACATCCTTCTTCTATAAATTTGGAATTTTGGTCTTCAGTAAATGCTCCACGTATTAATTTAAGCCTAAATTGTTAGAAGTGATTGTCTATTGTCTGGCTTATTTTAGAAAAACAATTAGATGTGCACCAAATCAGTTTAACACAAACTATTAAGTTTGCACGAATCTTTAAGCGCCACAAATGTTTTTGAAAATTAGGCCATAAATGTTTGTTAATATGGTTACCGTGTATATTTATTACCAGCCTGTTGGCCTCATGGTAAAAGTTACAGAGGAAATTTCAATCAAAACTTGACCAACGGCAACACTGACCATCCTCTGAGGATTATTTTGGACTAATGTATCTACAGTACATAACAAACTGTTAATTTAATCTGTTGTAAATTATATAAGCCACTTCTATAAACCAATAAATGAACAACAAAATATAACTTTGATGCAAAAAAACATCTTCTGGACTAACAAATGTATTTTACATATAGTGAGCAGCTAATTAAAGCTCACATGTGATTGTGGTTTTTCTGCTTGTGACTAATGATGACAGTTTGAAAGATGCCAATCATCATATCTAAACTATTAGGACATTCTCTCTGAATTACTTGAGCGTTTTTCATGAGTTGTATCAGAACTTCACATACAGAGTTATTAACAGAATATGTTGGGCAAGCATGGCAACACTTCTTTGACCGCTTGGTTGCTAATGACAGACACCATGGATGGGTTGATGAGAGAAAAAGGACACATACACATGCTGTCACTTAGATTCACGCTACAGCAGCTCAGAACATGTGGCTCCTTGCCAATGTCTCAACAGTCGTTATACCCTCCCTAAATGACATTTAAAGTGTGAAGCAATGGTTGTCCTTGTGGCTCAGTCACCCAAGGCCAAGCCCCAGCTATGAGCAATGAACCCTGAGCCAAGTTCTACAGCAAGGCCACAAACCCTGAAGCAAAATCTCCTGCCTTTGATGTTGTAGTTCAGCTCTCTGTGCGGAAAGTGACCTTGAATACTTGTTTTAAGAGTGATCTAACATGGGCCTTTTCTTTATATGACTGCTTCATTGTTTGCACCTTTCTTTTTCAAATGTTTCATCTATCTATTTGTTATGAAAAGTCATAAGGTTAATCAGACTTTACCATTATGCTGTTCTTTATTTTGGTATGGGAATAAACCTTTTTTAAGACTACTCAATATCTGAAGTGCAGGATTTTTTATTCACAGTAAATTAGGGTGAAATCTGTCGATATTGTTGGACTGAACAAACTTTTTGTGAATTTGCACAATATAAATAAACTGAAATGAAGTAATGTATTTGATTTTCTTCGAATGTATTTTATTCTATAACCAATTTAATGAATTGACTCCGCAGAAGCTATACATTTCCATGCATTCTTTATTGTCATTATAATATAATTGAACTTCATTGATCTCACATTGGTGGTGTATTTAACCCATCCCCTTGAGGAGCAGTTGGCCTCCATTTTGCAACATTCTCTGAACACAAACGCACTGCGAATGGCTTAAAATTTTTTGAAAACAAACAAAAACAAAATTTTTTTTTTTACTTCTATTGCTTTTGTTAGTACTATGTTATCTCAAAGAGCCATAACAAACATTAACACCTGCTTTTGTTACTCTGTTTGCAGTCTATACGAGAAGTGACGGGCTATGTGCTGGTGGCTCTAAACCAGTTCGACTACCTGCCTTTGGAGAACTTGAGGATCATTCGAGGAACCAAACTTTATGAGGATCGCTACTCACTTGCAATCTTTCTGAATTACAGACGAGATGGAAACTTCGGGCTTCGACAGTTGGGTCTTAAAAACCTTACAGGCAAGTGGATGTGCTGATGTGGTTGGAAATATTCTTGTGACATTTTTTATGATGGATTTAATAGTTTTGGTCTGTCATTGAAAAGCTTTTGTAAGGGTCAGCTAAACAGTCAGGTCATTTATTAAATGTCTTTAGTTTTTACCATTCTAAAATGGTGTCCTCACAAATCGGCCTAAAAAGTTGATCAGACAGCTGCAGCTGATTTAGAATACAGTTGTTCACTTCCTCACTAAAATTAAGAAAATAAAGCACATCACTCTAGTTTTAGGGTCCACAAACTGGTTCCCTTTATCTCAGATAATATACAGACCTGTCATCAGTGTATCAACTGTCCAGACCTCTCAGGCCTTCAGGCTCAAGTCTACCCTGCATACCACCAACTAAAACAAAAATGGAGAAGAAGCTTTTAGTTTGTATGCTCTGCTAATCTGGGACAAACAAGGTGCCTTAACTGTAAAAGTGATAAAGCCCTAAGTTGTTTTAAATTAACAATAAAAAAACATTGACTATGTTATCTAAACATTAATAATTTAAGTATGCAGTTTTTTTTTTATTCTCTTATCAGAATGTTATCCATATTTATGCCACATACAGCTGTTGTTAGTGATCATAGCAGTACCACTAGAGTTTTATGGCAGCTTGGCATAGTTGGAGAACACAACTATTGCATCTTAAAAAAAGGGATATCTGAGTGTAGTTCCCTTTAAACCTTTATATGTACAGAACAATAAAGATCTAATAAAAAAATTAAGATTAAATTTAAAATTTCTAAAATTGACATATCACAGATTGTCAATTTATATATTTTTAAGAAATTATATCCATTAACAGATGTGTTGTTTTGAACTAGCCAAACAATCATCAATAACCAAGTACGGATACAAAATAATGGAAAGAAAGCATTAAATGATTAACAAGATGCTACACTAATGCATTCACATATGTGTGTCTTTGTCTTTGTGAACCTAACCAGTAGGACTTTTCTTTTTAATTCAATACCACCAACTGCTGACACATATTCATTTTGCAATTAATTCCAGGCTGTTTATTTTGAGTTAAATGACTCCTTACCCCCGAGTTATTTTTTTTCGCTTATCAACTGTGTAGTATATATTTTACAGTGCTGTCTACATGTTCTAGCACATTTGTTATTATCCTGGTTTTGTGTCAAAAGCTGTATGACTCTCTCTTCTAGAAAGGTTTACTGAATCTGATTTTTGTTATTGGCTTTACCAGGGATGTGACATAAATGATATATGTGAGTGGAAGTAAGGAACAACTTGCATTTCTCTTTAAGAATACACTATGCTGTTGCCTTATAAGGTGGTTTTCTAAGTAGGGAGGTATGAGGTTCTTTGTGCTGTTTTAAGAACAACAGATCTTATGCTGCTAGGCTAAGCTCTCACCGTAAGGGTATTATAAAACTACCTTCCTGCCCAAACAACATGAAGAGCTTTTTCACCACAAGACTAAGAGTGGTGTTCAACAGAGACCAACAATAGTAATACAAGATTGAAGTTATGATACTTTATTCTGAATGTGTAAGAATATATATATATATATATATATATATATATATATATATATATATATATATATATATATATATATATATATATATATATATATATATATATAAATATATGCATCTTCCTATTTTAAGTCCTATATTTCTAATAAATTGTTGTCCATGTTATCTTTTTTTATTTGACTTCCCAAAGTCAAAGGAAACTACAGTCGAATCACTCTTTATGGGCAATAACAGTATTGGCTTCTGTGTCACAGTCCAATGCTGTAACTTTTCTTGCATTTTGAACCATTCTTAGTGAATAGCATTTGTCTGTCAAAAACAGCATCTTATTGCAAAGCCAACTATTTTCATTTGAGTGCCAAGTTGAAGCCAGTGCTATGGGAGTCAGGGCTGGACTCTGTGAGAAGAGGTTGTTTGATCTACCATTCATGGCCTAAAGCCATTAAGAGCGGAGGAAGTACAAAAGCATTGGTCTGCAACTGCTCTACTTCATCAATCTGTGTCTTAGTCAAGAAATGGTGAATAGCAAAAAAAGCAAAAAAGTTTTGAGAGAAGTTTTTTTTTTATTTCTGTTAAACCTCATTACCATGACCAAGACTCATAATATTACAGTAAATGGTGACAATGCGAATTCAAAAGAAGTCCAGTAAGTCTGCACCTTAGAAAATGTGTAATATCAGAATTACAGTTTCAGTTTTGCAATCTTTTTTTGAATAAAGACCCAATATCATGCCTGTGCAATCTCTCTTTATCTTTATTTGGATGAATAACACCCCAATAAAATATGGTTAAACCTTTCTACCTCCCCAAACATTATGGTCAAGTATTGCTAAAATGGGGTTTTTTGATGTCAGGCTTTGCTGATCAGAGTGGTTTCCAAATCCTAAGGAGATCTAAAGTCTTTGAATCCTGGTCCAACTCATGTCTTGAAACTTAACATTCAAACATCACAAGCATGCCATTGCAGCTTAAAACATGAGCAGCTGTTGACTATACATTCAAACTATTATTACCAAGTGAAATTTAATATAGGACCAGGTTTCTCAATTAATGAAGCAGTTGTTGCTTTTACTTTGAAGGTCCATAATTTACATACTTAATACCTGTTAAACCTAATATTAAAATGTCCACATTCCTTCAAGAATGTGAGTTGCATAGTATTTTAAAGCCTTTCTGCTGAACATGAACTCAAAATAATTAATGGAAACAACACAAAGGCCTTGTCATGAATTTGTATCTGAAAACTTTGCCTGAAAGGTACAAAACCATAAGTAAATGATGCATTAAAAAAAGTGTGTAAATTTAACAGTTGGATATACAAAATTTAGAAATTCTTTAATAAACATAACAGGAAAGGTTTTACTCCAACCTTACCTTCAACACTATGGATTGAGGAACCTTTGAGCTGCTGAATGTGTGTAATTTCAGGAATTTCTTCAGCCTTACAAATAACAAAAATCTTTCTTTTGTGTAAATTTAATTATTTCAAAGTTTCAAAGAAAGAAGTTAAAGAAACACCAACAAACGACATGGTATTTACCAAAAAGGAAATCATTGTTCTGTCCTTTCCATTAGAGAGTAAAAAAAAACAACAGGATCATAAATAGCATCATCAAAACCCTCAGGCTTTCTCAGGTTGTTCTACATACTCCTGAGGGAAATATACTTTTTCAAAATCTCCAAAAAGCGAGCTCAAAAGGTAAAGCTGTTTAAATTAGTGAAGCACATGACACATATCACTAGCTCCATAGTAAAAAAAGAATAATTAAAAAATGTAGTAAAAAAAGAACATTTGTGCAAGATTGTTGTTGGTTTCTTATTTAATATGTGTAACTAACTAACTACTTAATAAAATAAATCTAAGTGTATTGTAGTACATCAGACCTTTTCTTTCCTCTGAGTGCTTTAGTGAGCTGAGGGCTAGACATCTCAATTATTACAAGGCCTTTGATGTCGTGGTCACATTACTCTATTGCTCCCCTAGCTATAGCTCCCAGGAGAAGTGTTAAATGATCAGCATCATCTATAAGCAACATATAAAAGAAGATCAAACTTATTAAGACCATAAGAGGGTAACGGGGAGAAGAAACTGAAAAAGGCCCCTTCAGCTGTTCAACCCTATATTTGTACTTGGGTAGAAATTGCCTTTGGATGAAATCAATTTGTCGGAACAATATTGTAGCCTTCCACTTATTGATTTTTTTCGGGTGCACTCTGCTCACTGTCAATGGACTTTCTGGGTTTAAGGGGAGTGGAGAATGGGATGAAGGGAGGTCTTTGGCTGAGCAGGGATAGGACTCCCTCTGATGCACCTTTCAATCAAGCTTAGCTAAGTTATCCTCATGAATATGAAATATAAGTCACAGCAAAGCTTGGAAAAGTTTAAGGATTGCGTTTGTGTGCAAAGGGGTGTATAGAATAATAAATATAAAATACCCTCTTCTCAAGTGTGAGGAGTTTAGCTGTTTGTTTGACATTACTTTCTCAAACCCAAAGAAACTTTTGACAAAAAAAGTATTTAATAGTCGTTTATTTTACTTTTCTTCTTAAAAGTATTTAATCTGATTATGACCTCTCAAGTTAGAATTGTCCATCCATCCATGCATCCATCCATCAGGCTCACACAGGGGCCAGTTGCTATCTCCAGCATTCTACGGACAAAAGGCAGGGTACATCCTATACAGGTTGCCAACTCACTGCAGGACAGCACAAACATATATTTCCTTAAATTATGTTGGAATTTTATGTAACAGTCCAAAATACCATATAACTATGAGGAAAAAGAGGTATAAGCATTTCTTACTTTTACCAAATAATAAAGAAAATTGGGATATGTATGTTAATTCAGCGACCCTGATGCTTAACTATTGGTACCACCTTTTTTGGTAGTTATGTTTATCCCTTTTTGTGGAATTAATCTTTTTTTTTTTTTTCTTTTTTTTATCTGTAGTCCATTTTTTTTTTTCCTGTGAAATTATTTTTTGCTGGTCATATTTGCTAATGGCATCTCTGACCAGCACTTTTAAAGTGCTACCATAAGTTTCTTATCAGTATTATTAACCTGGACTTTGACTTAAGGATTTAAGAAAATTAAGACACGATAAATGTGTTTTTGACTCAACCAGGCATCTTAAAGTCCAACACTGCGGGGCACTGTCCTTTAACTTTTTACTTATCTCTATGATAATTGAACTGAATTTAATACCTAAATAATTTAAGTTACAGGTAACTTCATTAAGTTACAGGTTCTTTCAATGACAAGCTACCTTCTCCCTGCAGGGGAAAGCACTCCAACAGAATAATTATGCCACTATAGTGTCTCACTGAGTACAGCAAATGGTGTGGATACGGTGATGTGTGGAGTTACTCTACTCTTCTCACCAGTTTTTGATTTCATCACCATATGATTATTTTGGTATTCCTAATGACTTCTGTTGAACACAAATTCCCCTTTGATATTGTCCTATAT